GAATTCCTCCTCGTAACCAATGGAATGGTCACCACGCACCTTCTCCAAATTTCTCACCTAGAGCTCACCCTCGACCTACACCCAAAAAATTCATGGTCATACTCCTACCTACCAATGCTTGGACACGGTTCTTTCAGCAGGATAGTTCACTGTATCCATAGGACGCTCGTTCATATCTAGGTCCTAGGACCAATGTCCGGTGTTCATAAATGGAATAAAAATATGAAAAAAAACTGTTCCCATTTTCGGTACTTTCCGGGTAACTTCTGTTAACGGCTTCCATAGCACTTGGCTGCCAAAGTGTTAGATTGAAAAATCTGTAGGTCTCTGTAATCGTTGAAATATAACAGCAAGACCCATACCATAAATTGGAGAAGGAGCTCAGCCGAAAATCATTTAATCTGGTCAATGGAGTAACTTTTCGTTACTCACAACGGCTGAATAGACGAGGGAAAGGATTGTCCAGTGTCTGAAGCTCAACCAATGCAATCGAGTAAAATGGTATTTTCTATCCGATTTTATTTAGAAAATTTTTCAAGGCTCGTCATCATCACCTGTTCATCTGAGGTCTACCATCTTTGATTAGTAGTGGGAAACTTTAAAAGGGAAAAGTAAATGACATACTACGGATGAACTTAGTATCCCCTGGCGCAATCAATTTCGTTTGGTGCAAGTTTGTTTGTGAGACACCCTCTATGAAAACTGCATTTTCGAACCAATATCGCTCACCGCCTTCATAACCGCCTGAGAAATATCTCTATCAATATCTTTGCTTCTCGATACTCTCCCTCTTGAGTAGATCAGATGATTTCATTGTTCAAGAGAACACTAAAATATGTTAATATGGATTTTTATTTGGCCAAGTATGAATTATTTTGAGCATTAAGAACAGATCTGACTATGTAACTGGTGACTTTCATGCAATGTCTTTATCGATCGTCAGGGACCGTAAGTTAGCAACAACGCGCCGAACATTCTCTTTCAAGGCGTCAATTGTCTTGGACTCATCCGAGTAGACAAGCGACGTCACATATCCACACAAAAAAGAGTCCAGAGGTGTTAAATCGGCCGATGTTAGAAACTAACCCATCGGCCCACGCGTTCACCAAAAGTTACCTTCAATAAATTGATTATTTCATTGTAAAGACGACACTTTTTGGAACCGAAGGTCGTTCACATCAACATCCAGCAATTCTGGCACGGAAAGGTCACTAAGTATTGCTCTAGCATAATGGACGACTTCATTTAAAAAAAAAATACCCAAACGGTTCCCTCTGCTCATAGTGTCCACCAAACACAGACTTTTTAAGAATGTAACGGTGTCTCAAAAATGGGTTATTGATTATCATCACTCCAAGTACGTCAAGTTTGTTTAATAACATACCCATTCCACCACAAGTAAGCTTCATCACTGAACAAAATGTTCTTGTGAAAATCCGGTTTGGTGGACATCTAGTTTTCGCCTCATTCACCAAATGTAAACAAATCAATCACTTGATACTCGTTCAGCTTAAATTTCTACTCTAGTAGGATTTTGTAAGTCCGTAAACCAAAATCCTTCCGCAAAATTTACCATAAAGTGGTTGGTTACAGCTCCAAATTTTGCGCGCGTTTTTAGCGGGCGGAGACGTTCAGATCTCCTTTGATTATTTGCTCCACTGCAGCAATAGCGTGTTTGGTGCGCACTGTACGGCGTCTCTGAGGTAACGCGTTATCTACTATGGTAAACGTGACGTGAAACTGATCCATGGTTACTCAAATTACCGCCTATGCTGGGCGATTTTATCAACTTAATATTGAACGCAGCGCGCAAAGTGAAACATAATTTTGATAACAAATTTGCACGATTTGCAAACATTGTTCCGGGAAGGTCTGTTCATTATGAAATGGGAAAGCAAACTTAGTATAAATCAAGTTAATGCTGCCAAAAGGACCAACTGCCAAAAAGATATTGCCTCACTGATAACCACAATATATCACACCAATGACCGTGACAGTAGTTCTCCTAATGTTACCAGAGGGCCATCTCTTCGCTTAGCAAATCTCTTATTTTTCCAGTACAGATGCGGTATTGACGGAATCGTTGGAGAAAAATAATTTCCCAAGCACATCGGCAAAACCACTTCGGAAGTAATTGAAAAGTCCTTTACTTAGAGTGCACTACATCTTAACGGGCTTTGCCTCTCTGCGTGACATATTTGGAGCCCAATCTAAACACATACTAATCACTGACGCACCCAACGTATGATTCATAAAAAAAAGACCTTTCAGATTTGATTATAAAAAAACACAATATACGAGTAATTTCATTTTTAAAAATCATTTGATGTAAATGTGGGCCTCGGCTACATTGCAAATGGTCTCCCGAACATATCGTCCGGTATCTTACGGCCTACACTGCGTCAATCGTTCCAAGTCGTATAAACACGAGCTTAAAATGGCCTTGCAAAAAATAGCCTAGAGGTGTTAAATCACATGATCTAGACATTCATTGACCGATCCCAAACGTAAAATAAACTCCACCCTGAGCTCGGTTCTCAATTAGGTCATTGCCGTTGTCATTGTGATTGCGGGTTGTGTGACATGTGGCACAGTCTTGCTCAGTCAGCTAAGTCAAGAATTTCCATTTTAGGTTAAAACAATTTTTTAAACGTCGTAGGAAGTTCCTCTAAATTTCATTATAAGGTACCGGCTTTCGACGTCTTTAAAAAAGAACGGTCCAATGATGCTACTACCTAACCAAACAATAGCATTTTTGGGATGCACTAGTGGTACGTGCAATGCTTCTGGTTGCTCTGCTCGCTCCAATTGCAATCTTGCTTGACAACGTATTCATTCACTCTCCTTTTTGTCCAAATCCATCGTAAGACCGTGAACATATATATTTTCGAAATGAAGGGAAATTCTGTTTTAATAGGCCGGCCATATTTGACGTGGAGTATCCTTTTCTTCAGTTCTGGCGGTTTTAGCCGAGTGAACAACCGGGGTGTTCTGATTCGTTCGAACCAAATTACCTAGACGGCCTAGACGAGGTCTATTGATTCGCTGATGTCGCCACATATCTAGTACAGCTCATCGTTTCATAGGATGCAGTACTCGTCGTTGTCGAGGAGCAAAGGACCATAAATTTTACGGAAAATCTTTTTCTCGAAATCTTCCAACGACCACACTTGTAGAGTTTTGTCTTTGTTCGTCGACTCAGTCAAAGGATGATTACGCATTGAACTTCCAGGCTGACATTGTTTTTCGTGTTAATGCTGGTTTCAAGATAAACGAAATTATCTACGACTTCAAAGTTCGAAGAGATTTTCTGCTCTTATCCAGAGCCAACTGACAGTGCTGAGAACCTAAAAGCGACTTCAAAATGCCTTTTACCCGCAGAACATTTCATTTGGCTGCTTATGCTCTCACGTGATTTTCTCGCAGAGTGTTCCGACAAGCCTCCAGTCTGCCATATCGTTTAATAACAGCGTCTTCGATGCAATGTTTCTAAATAAGCTGAGCTGTGTGATAACAAGTTTTGACTAATTTGAAACTGGCGCATCAAAGTTCAATCTTCGCCTAGCTCTCAATACACTCAAACGATCCTACAACAGCTACAGACATCATCGTGAGAAACTAATCAGAGATCCAGTCATTTATTTCCCATCAAACGTTTTGATATTTTACCCAGGAACTTGAGAAAAACACTTCCAGAAATAAATATTGTAATAAAAAATTTTCACAGCAGCGCCATTTTTATGATGACATATAAGAATTTTTAGCAACAATTGCCAAACGGTATGCAATTTCAAAATTTAAAACAAAATACAAAAAATTTCCACGCTACAATAACGAGCCAGCAACATCACTCCGCCTTCATTTTTTGTGGGTGTACTCAGAGATGTTATCAAATTTTGCACTCGTTTTTGCAAATGATAGCCCACAACACATACCCACTCGCATGCAGACACATTGAGAAAATAATATCATTTCAAATTCAGTTCCGGCTTTTCCAGCGATCTGCAATGCGCGCACACGATCAACCCTCGAAAACTGCAACAGCAGCCTCACCAAACCCAGGCTGCACACAAGCGAGTGCAGAACTATTGAATCTCTGTTGATACTAATGAATGAATGGCAAACCTTTGCGCTACTCAAACTCATACCTCATTCACCTAATCACACTTGCGGATCGCCGAGTGAAATTCGCTTTCTGACATGTGATATGTTTTGCCAACCTTTGACGACTATCTTGACGATCGGTGTAATTATGTCGCATGTAAATCATATCTAGATTGAAATTAAGAGAGGTGAAGTGCGAACAGAAGAACCCATACAGAACGCACGGAAAATGAGTAATACAAATAATTTTTTTTTTATTTTATTTTTACGTAATGAATACTATTATTACGCAGGCAGATTACTTAATCCTGCACACACATTACAAGCATACGCACATAGACCGTAATATTGAAAATTTTTCTTTCGCAAATCACAGAACCGGGTATTAGGAGCCAAAGGTGTGTGTGCCATTTGTAGATTCATTCATAAATTCCTTTTGTTTGTCCGAGTAAGAGTCTTGTTAAGCCGGAACCGTAAGGACACTGTTCGTATTGATTGCTGTGTAATCCTGTCGCTTGCATAAATACGGTTAAAATTTTATTTGTTTCACTGCAAAAAGAGCTACCAACGTTGTAAGTCCATATCTGAGGTACAAATCTGTTTATTAAGACAAAAGTTTACAATGTGCTTAAGGGAAATTCGATCGATTTAAATATAGATCAGCAGTGCAGCTTGCGAGAGGATAGTAACAGGTCCTTCTATTGCATTTTTTTCATTAAGAAATTCTATGCGAACTAAAGTCTACATTTCAACCTTAAACAAAAAACGATACGAATATCCTTAGAATTACCTGTTGTCGTCAGAAAAGTGTATAGAAATCTATATTTCCTCAAAACACCTGTCATATACTGATAGTAGAAAGAGAAAAAATTAGACAAGCATTTTCTTATTTTCGAACTCGTTTCAAAAATTCAAAAACAATTTTCAAAGAGCGATATTTAGTCCACCACTCCTTAGGGATATAACATTTCATAGTGCTCTCCAGCTCAGGCAAATATCTCGGAGTAGAGGGAACGTACTGACAGCGGCTGAAGCATAGCTACAATTGTGCAAAAATGGGGACTAAACCCTTATGGTGTCGTAAGAGTCACTCATACCGGATACTAAAGGAGATAATAACAGTCTCAACAAAAGCACTGAAAGTTGTTCTTGACATCTGACACACCTTAATATACAACAGAAGTAAGGGGTGTAATGGGGTGTAGTCAAGTTTCTGGGTATGTAGTTACAGACGCGGGGCTACACTCAATTCCTGCTCTTGTGTAAACGGTGCGCACCCTGGGAACGTGAGAGACCCTTTTGGCGCCTTGTGGCACCTTGTGTCATGACTAAAAGAGAGAGCGCTTCTATGAAACCACTCTGAAGTCTAATTGCAAAGTTTGTCAACCATAGCCGCAGCAGCGAGCGAGATTGTGGGCTGGGTTTGATATCCGTCATATTGAAACCAACTCCAATGAACAAATTACTTATGCCTCGGATGAGATGTCCCCCTTCTGCAGATAACTACTGCAAACGCAATAAGGACTATGATTTAAGGACATGCAGTTGGAATGCTCGATCCCTTAGTTGACAGGGCGCCGCTGCTCAACTGGTTAATGTTCTCGTCTAAGGAGAAGTATGGAGACGAGTAAGTCCTTGTAACATTACTACATCGGTCATATGATAGGTACAATTTCAGAGGGAGATTCCTAAAATTATTTCTCTTCGGTGGATGAACATCTAGGCATAATCCGCGTAAAAGTTAAATGTTTCAGCATGTCGCTGGTTTGCGTCTGATGAAGGAGAAGAACAATGGGATCAAAAATACCTTTTATGAGCGACTGAGCGCTGCTCCCATCACGATATGGAAATTGTGCTTGGCGACTTTGCTGCCAGGGTGAGAAATGAAGGTATCTTCGGCACAGCGGTCGAAAAAATCTGACAGCAAGAGATAATTTTCAAAATAGATTGAGGCTGGTTGACTTCGCCGGCGACCGTAATATGGTTGTATGCAGTGCAAAATTCCAGAGCAAACAATCTCATCAAGTTACTTAACTGTCTCCAGATCGAAAAACTCACAATCAGATCAATAATGGAATAGTCGGACATGTATCCAGTGTTCTTGATGTGCCTCCGAGATATATGGCGACGTTGACATACTTCAGCGGGGTCCAGTTCAGGGAAAATTGGATTGTTGGTAAGGCATCTTCCTAGATTTGAATACGAGTCAGGCACAGAACCAAGATTTCTTAATAACCCTAAAAAACTAGCAGCAGAAGTTCCAATTTCGTCCGGCTTTACTGTAGCAGGCGGGGTTAGTTATAAAGAGGGTATTTAAGAACTTGAACTCTTTTGGGAAAACAACCTGACTGGCATTTTAGGCACGTTAGTTGCTTCATTGATACGTGCCAGCCTTGCAATCCCTTAGAATAAAAACTACATTTCCAAGCCCAAGCACTTTCAAGTTCCCAAATGTAAGGTTAGATTGTATGGATACTGATCTATCACATCGATTACACTTAGACCTGACCAAATCGGTTACACTTAGACCTGACCAAGGCCACATAAACTTAGATAGTAACCATTTCAAACTTCTAATAAACTCCATTATATTGTATTCTTGACTATATTCGATAGACCATCCAGCAGTAGAGTCTTAAATGCCTACAACAAGCATTGCCCAAAGCAGGACAGACGCATAAGAGATTTGGGTGAACGTTTCTCTTCCCCATTATCCTTGCAGCTTCCGCAGCAACTCCTATAGGGAGACCTTAGTATATTTATCAGGTAGTGGCCTGTCTGACATGACAGGTGGCCTAAAAAAGAGTTACATAGGAGAGTTCCTTCAGAAAACACCACTCAAGTTTTGATCTGCCCGTCTATGTTTCTGTGCCACCAATCGGAGTGTGGTAATTATCTTTCAATGCTTATAAACTGGGGAGCAGCGTTCTAAAATAATTTTTAATGGATATAAACGAACGTAACTTGATCCTTCATCACGGTATATGAGGTGTCACAATAAAGTAATGAGACTGATTCTATTGCCGCGATTGTGGTAACCCTGCGTCCTTGAAATTCCCTTTCGCTTATCTTTCCTTCCTTCTCCACCCCATTGATATATTTGCCATCGCTCTAGCTTTTTTAGTTCGCCTACTGTGTCGTATTGAGTACCGTGTGTTCGTGGTGCTCGTCACGAAAATGAAAAACGAAGTCAAAATCAACTATCCGTAAATCAAGTCTACTATCACCAAGTATTCGAAATATTCCGAAAACGTGTCAACAGGGTGCGCCCACACATCGCTCGTAACTGGATCCTTCATCACAACAACGCGCCGTGCCACACCGCCCTCAGCATGTCTCAGTATTTAGCCTCTAAAGGGATCGCCGCGTTGAAACAACCGCTTTATTCGCCCGATATGTCACCCTATGACATTTTTTGTTCCCTAGAACAAAATCGGTGGTCAAAGAAACCAATTCCGGGTCGATTGAGGCCATCCAGGCCGTGACGAGGGTACTCCCGGACATCTCAGTCGAAACGTTCCAGAAATGTTACGAAGTTTGGAAAACGTGCAGGAATCGTTGTACAGCTGTCCAAGTAACCCCTTTGAAGTGGAAGGCAGTTTTGTAGAATAATTTTGAAATATACGGTTTTTATAGAATCAGTAATGAGTACTTAATTGTCACACCACGTAGGTTGGTTCGAAATCGTATTTATCCCATATTTTGTGCCCCAATAACTGAAGGATATATCGATTTGACACTTTTAAACGAAGTGCGGCTAGTTGCAAAGAGATATACCACGTGCAGTTACAAAATATTGAGTATTGAATTTAGAACGCCTAAAAATTTGTCGGCGGATTAATAGCAGGGTCTAGAAAAGAATATTTGAAAATTGACACAAGATTTCACAAAACACAGTCTTTAGATTGTGATTTTTTATAGAATCATAGGGTTCTTATGGAATAACACGTCAAGCAAATGGCTTCCACGGCTTTCCCAAGACTATTCTACCTAAATGTGCCTGAATGGTTGATGCAACGTTGAATCTCCTCCATTAAATCACAAGGGATTTTTGGCTTGTTAATATAAACCTGTCGTTTCATAACCCATGTCGCGATATCAAGCACCAATAACAGCCATTGCTGGACCAATCTCAGTCTCAAATGGTCCAAAATGGTCCAAGAACAAAAGACATGCTAAACAGTGACCCGTTTTGAATGCATTCGTTTTCCGACAATCATCAAGCGGCAATTTCGACGATTAACGAGTTGAAAATATGCTCAATAATCCATTCAACAAACTCTTTTCACTGTACATGGCCATTAGGCTACAGTTGTTATTTTAATTGAATGATGGAAACACAGATCTGTAGTGAATGTGAAAACTGTAAAGAGTTTCTTGAAATTCGTAACTCTTATCCACAACGAAATGACGTACCTGGATTGTCACCGACACTCTCACGCACTACTTCGATATTGTCATTTGAACGATTGTGTTTGGACGGCCAGTGTATTTGGCATCTCCAACCTATTCTGTCTCTATTTTGCATGTATTTTTCGAACTACTCCCGCTAAACTTTCATTATTTTAAAATTATTGTTCAATAATGAAGATACGTTGTTCTATCTTTCCCTTTTTCCTAAGCCTAAACTGTCGACTGCATTCGAATTCTTTTTTTTTTTGGGTAGTCAACACTTTACTACAAAAATGACGGCAAATTTACGTTAATTGTGAGATACACTTTATCACCTTATAAATATCAATAGTTCCCCTTTTTTTGAGTCGGCAAAGACGCCAAAGCGTGCAGCCTGATGGGTTTGTGGGTAGTTGCATTGGACTTTGCATTCTGGCCATTCCGCGAAGTATCGAAAAATGTTTAAAATTTTCCAATTCAAAACATTAACTTTTTTTACAATAATTTTATCCGATAATCGTTTTTTTAAACTGACTTTAAATTTATCTTTTGCATTTTTTGTTTTTAATATTTTTAAATTCATTAACTCAAAATTCAAACCAATTTCTTGCCCACACTTTTTGTAAGTTTTCTTTTTAAATTCAATCAAATGAAATGACCGGAAGTAACCGTCCAGGGCATGTACCACAATTTGACATCCGGTTGGCAAATTTTTAGTTCACCATTTGACCATTTGACCATTTGATTTTCGTATGCACTGCACATGTGCCACCAGAGAATTTGTGCAAAGCGAAGAGGCAAAGAAAGGAGTGAATTCCTTTTTGACTGCTACAAATTTTGTTTCAAATGATTTCAGTTAATATATACATATATTGTATATATATATATATGTATACTATAATAATAGACTACGTCCAAGCCTCCAGCAACAAAAATAGCTCTTGAATTGTCAAATTTTTCAGTATGCAAAAAAATGTTTGGTTTATTTTAGAAAATTAATTCTTGAATATTGAGTCTGAACCGAATAACTTCCTCAATCTGTTTTTCTACTGGAAATTCCATTTGCCCTTCTTCATATTATTTTTTTAACAACTATTAGGTTGCCCTAAAAGAAACCGCTGATTTTTCACACAGACGACCTTGACAATATTTTTTGAACAGCTTAAAACTATGTAAGGCCCGTTTTCACAATGTCCGGTTAACTTAACTTTTAACCGGAGGATAGCTAACCGTCAGATAGGCTGATTAGTTTTATCATTGTGAATATTTTAAGGTAAATTCACAAAAAATTTCGTTGTGAATACATCAAAACTGCATGACAGCTGGTATTTGCTTATTTTTTCCACAAGATATGCTTGACTAATTCTTAAGATTTTCCGTTTTTTATATTTTATATATTTTACTTTGTTGTTATGGAAAAAAATTGTAATTGAATGAAATTTATTTCATATATTTTTATTTGGAAAAAAATATTTTGATGGTCTTAAATTACATGTATAAAATGTATATTATATGTATAGCATTTCCTTGCACCTCAGCTATGTTTTCGTCGACATCAACGGATGTTTCTGCTGGCTCATTCGCTTGAACTTCTACCCCATCCAAATTAGAGTCATTCTAGATAACCAAATTGTGCAACACTTTACATGCAACAATGATGTTCATAGTTCTGCTGATCGAAACTAAATTCATAGCTCCTCGATATGCAATTTCGAGTACGGATTTGTTATTCACTGCAAAGACGTTCAACGCCAAAAATTGGCATCTAAAAGTTGACACATCATGTAGTTGCTGACAAGCCATAAATACTACCACCCAAATAAAAGGAGTCCATAAATTCTTTTTGCTCAATTGTGAGCATTGTGCTCTTAATTTCCCTGCTTTTTTCGGTATTCAGAGGAATGAGCCGACAAGTGCCGCGGTAGCAATGGATACTGCTTACCACCCGACTGGCAGTCGCCATTTTTATTGCGCCCAACACCGGAACACAAGTTAAAACACTTTCCGATGCATAGAAACGTAATTTTAAAGGCAAAATTTCCGTTGCTTTGGAGAAGTGGGCAGATTTGGTCAATCATAAAGGTGTCAAAAACTCTCGAAAATGACGAGGCTATAAAATCGCACTTGGTTCCGTTTTTTGAAGATAAAGGCCAGAAGTTCTATGAGCTTTGAATAATGATGTTGCCGGAAATACGGCGAAAGACCATCCAACAAAATGGAAATTACAAAAAAAATCATTTACTTTCTTTTAAAATATCGTTTCTTTTGGGGCAACCTATGCTTTAAGATGCTGTTATAATACTTTAGTGTCTGTTATGAGATATAAAAGGTGGATTTTTAAGAGCTATAGGAAAGTTTCCAGAAAACACATAAAATTCAGAACAATGCATGAAATCTTTATTTGAATGGATAGTATGTTCCATATAATTTAATGTTTGAAGATTATTTCATGCAAATGTTGACAGTAACTGCACCTCAAATGGTTCATCCGCTTAGTCCAATTTTGGCATACTCTTTCCAGCATTTCGGTCGGTGTCTCACGAATAAATGCTTCAATGTTGTCCTCCAATACGTCAGTCGAAACGGGTTTGTCTGTATAGATCTTAGATTTAAAATAGCCCCACAAAAAGTAGTTTAGAGGCGTTAAATCGCATGATCTATGTGGTCAATTGACCAGTCCTGAACGTGAAATAAAATGTTCACCGAAAGCGCCTCTCAATAAGTCCATTGTTACGGGTGCTGTGTGGCATGTGGTACCTTTTTTTGACACCACATGTGATGCAAGTCAAGCTCTTGCAGTTACGTTACGATTTGCATCATCTTTGAAGACGTACGATCCAATGATGCCACCAACCCATAAACCGCACTAAACTGTGACTTTTTCTGAATGCATTAGTAGCTCTTGCAATGCTTCTGGCTGATCTTCACTCCAAAGTCGACAATTCTGTTTATTTACGCACCCATTAAGCCAAAAATGAGCTTCGAAACATGCGCGGAAGAAGCGCAAGATGAATTTTCTTAACAGAGAACGCATTTTGATAATAAAATTCAGTAATTTGCAAGCGTTGTAAGCCGATTCATGGATAAATTATAGACCAAGCTCAAGATGTTTGATAGTGAAACGAAACACGAAACACGAAACGTGCGTCGGTTGTTTAGACCAGTGTTGCCAAAGGATAATAGCTAAAAAATCACCCTTCAAATATGTATGTGCCGACTTATTATACTGTCGTGATTGGATATTCTTCCGCTGTGAATCGACTGTTGGTTAAGTAGGACTCAATCATATTGTGGAAGGTATTAGTAATAATGTTGTTGTAATGTTTTTATTTTTATTTTTTTATATAAGTATTAAGTGAACTACGAGGCCTGGTTGTTTGTATGAATTGAATATTTGTTATACAACAAAGAAAAATGGTAGAAGTGACAGCTGTTTCGGAGATCACCACATCTCCTCATCAGACTTCTTATGGCAGGGATCGAGCCAACGGATCCTGACTTAACAGGGAAGTGTTCTGCCACTGCGCCAACATCAGCCATATAATTAATTGTTGTATTATTATGTTTTTATTTTTATTTTATGAACGAGATCCTTTGTAATGAAAACGAGGGCAATGCTTGGCAGTTCTTTTAGCATTATTTGGTGTGATATGAAAGTTCCTCTTATATTTTCGTCGGATCTAAGATGGTAATGGTGTTTTTTATTTAGTTCAAATACAGATTAATTGCTCAACACAGTTGATTATGTATCAACAATCCGCAAATCAATAAGCTAAACGTCGAATCTGGAGCTGGTAAAAGCAAAGATTTATTGTTGAAACACCCCTTCATCCTCAACGTATAACTGTTTGCTGCGGTTATAATCCGGCGGGGATTAATGAGGTTTTATGATC